ACAACTAGCAAAGTTAAAGTTTAATTAGAGTAAATTCGAAGCTGGGAGAAAATAGTTTCAAATTGGCCAGTCAATGCTGCCAAAAGCTCCTTCTAACACTCAGGAATTTTGTACTTAGGTGCATTAAATAATTTGTATCGTGTTGGAAGCCATCGAAAGGAGAAATGATAGCGGAAGTTGAAAGCTGTTAGATAATTCTTCAATAAACATAAAACCCTCCATACTTTGCGCCTTTATTTGACTGATATACTACGAAAGCGAAAAGTTAAACAACTGATTCTTATGTGAACCAATCACAGCAGTATGTTTATAGAAGACGGTAAGGTATAGCTTGTGTTTTTGCTTTCATTCATACAGGGCTAAACATCCGCCTTTAAGATAGAACATACACTTCTCAGGGTTAACGACAGCACATGAAAACTTTACAGGTTTCTAGCAGACATTTTGGCAATAGATACTTAGGTTTTTGTCGAAATGTAATAATAAGCGACTGAATATATATTTCAAATTCTTAGAGAACGGAATGGGAACAGTGAAAACAGTTTTACTTGCAAAGTACAATTCTGTGAATGACCTAAAAAAGTATGATTCGATTTCATAGAACTAACTTTCTTATATCTTAGTCTGTTCATTTATTTTTCTTAGTCATTATCTTTTCTTATCTCAGGTTTACGTGTGTAAATAGAAATGTAATGTAAATGAAAATAATGCTTTAATGTAAATAAAAATGTTCGTGTAAAACCGAGAGTTTTTCCAAATGAAAACCTGAACATGAAACTACTTAAAATCCTTATCGCTTAAATTCGTTTCAACTTCGTTGCAAATGTCCCCTTATTCACTGGACGTATTTATTATTTATACTGTATGTTTTGTATTCTTAATAAAGAAATCACAGTTTATTTCTGAAATGATACTCTTTCTAAACCCGATCTCTTGAATCAAACCAGCTGTTGTGTGACAGAAAACATATTCTTCACGATGAAGTAATGGCAAAAATACATGGTTAAAGTTACAGTATGGATTACGGGTCTTTTATTTGTATGGCAAGCATAAAAATAAATATGTTTAAAATTTTAACAGTTTCACCTGATATTATAAGATTATGCATTAACAATCTAGCAGGAAATGTACATGCAAATCACCAATGCCAAGCAAACTTAAAGAACATACTCAAGCATTTATCAAGTTACGTTCATTTTTATCTCTCTTAGAGCGAATAAAATATGAATTTTACTACAATAGGAAACCTTAGTACTAGATAAAATTTCTGAATACCTTTACATAAAAATACTCTCAGGGAATGTTTCTGATTAATTATACAGAAGATATAGAAATTATTTCAATTTCCGTTAAAATTGACGTGGATGTTAATACCCATTCAGGCTTCTATATGTTCCATTTTAAAAGGATTTCATTATTCAAAAGGCCATATTTAAATTTGTCATACAAATTAATAATCACAATGTCTGTTTTAGAAAAATTACTTCAGTAATTGCTTTAATTATGCCATTTGTATTAACGTCTTGAAATTTATATGGTTTCTTTTTACGGTAAAATTTATATATTAACATTTCCTCACGCGTATATGTTTAATATATTGCCACAATAAGAATTCAAATAATTCATATTTTTTCCTTTTATCCTGTTTTTAGTTATAAGTACTGAAGTATAAGAATACACATACGTACATATTCATACACGCAGTTTTAGTTTAAAATCGTTCGAACGGAACTATACTTTAAATTTCCAGGAAGATATTTATCACGATTCCAGGATTTTTTATATGCGGCTAAGAGAAGAGTGCAGGGGAGTAAGGGAAAGCTTGTGTTTTTGCTTCCGTTCATACAGAGCTAAACATCCGCCTTTAAGAAAGAAGATACTCTTCTCAGGGTTAATGACAGCACATGAAAACTTTACAGGTTTCTAGTAGACATTTTGGTAACAGATATTTAGTTCTTTGTCGAAAAGTAATAATAAACGACTGAATATATATTTCAGAAATTTCTTTCTGAAATGCTAAAGCGCTTCTTAAGAATTCTGTTTCATACCACTCTTGCTCTTTGCGATTTCGAAAGCTTCACCACTCCGACGAGTTAACAGCATTTCGTTGATAGCAGCCATCGTAATAAAAAAGACAATTCGAGACTGGAAATGCATTTCCTTCAGAAACTTAAACGAAATTTATTTGATTTATCGTCCCTGTAGGCACACTTCTAATCTGGAACCATTGCCAAAGGCATCGGTGACTGCCAGATTTTACGCCGGTTAAGAGACCATGTTTCACTGAAGCGATACATTACATCACAAGTACCCTAGGTGATTTAGATCTGTGCTGTATTTTATCGTCAGGGTTCTTTTTTACCTAAATGATGATAGGAAAAAAAAAGAAACTCATTCGAGACTTGAACTGTTATTTTCTAATTTGGAAAATAGCGACTAATAAATCGTCATGATATCCCTATTGTATACTTCCGTGAAGCTATGAATTTAAATGCTGCTAGACATTTATTTCTTTATATGATATGCAATTGTTTCCTCATGTCTTGACCAAAACTTATACGCAACTAGGAAATTATGCTTTATCACGCTAAACCTATGTGCCGTTTAAAAGCATTAATTAATATTTGACTGTATGTACATAGGGAAATGTTAGTCGATCTGATATGTCACTACAAGCTTAACCTTTTAATACAAGATATATAATATTAGCGGTATAATGTTAACATAAACTTATAAACAACACTGAATTAGTAGATAAAATATGGGCAACATAAAAAATACACAAAATAATAAATAAAATATACAAAATAATAAATAAATTTGCAAAATTTTATATTAATTTAATAAACATATAAAGGTAGAATATCGTGAAGCAAATAAAACAACATGTTTAAACAAATGTCAACACTTTCCATCCCGATCTGTTTCGCTATATTTCTCTCGTTTAACACAAACAAACTGAAGATAATCTACTTTTCCCCTGTAATATAACAGGTACTTTTTTCAGTGCTTTCCATTGTTGCGATTTAATTTTGCTCATGAATCCAAATTAACTCATAAACACAAAGCACACATGAGCTATAAATGTCTGAGTGACTGTTTTCATTACACTGAACCTTCTTCGAAAGTGGTCATATGAAGTGTTGCATTATGCACTTCCAATAGTTCCTTAGTATATTGAAACCAAAACATTTTTCAAGTTACTTTTTAGTCCTTTAGGGACTTTGTCCCTGAAGGACTATTGTTTTTGTTTTGCGATTTTGTGTTGAATCACTATAAATGTTTGTTTCACTTTTCAAACTGTTGCCACCAAATGTTAGAGTTCTGCATTATATTTGTGATAAAACAACGGTACATAGAGCCATCGAAATTTGAATGATTTAATCTTCCTACGAATATGGGCATGTTGAAGACCAAATTTGAAATTTGCAATTTGTTTTATGATCGATTTCATATTTTGTAAACCTTTAACGAATTTTTTATTAACAAACTCAAGGATTTCAAAGCGAGCAATGGCAACACTCTACAGGGAAAATAAAACCTTTTCATCTCCAGCGCTCGGAACTGTGTATTGGAAATTCTAAAGATAGGCTCATTTCAAAATTATTTTGCGACATTGCTATTGAACTGAATTTTATGTTTTAAGTGCAAAGAACATCATATATAATAAGTAAAGGTAACACACAAAACGTTAAAAAACGTCCCTTTAGACGTAATTTAAAATCTGAAACCTTTCAGATTTTTTTGAGCTATTTTTGTTAAGAATTTCTTCAGTTTTTATTTATTAATGTATTAATTTTTATTTTCAGTTGTTTTAATATGCAGTTGTTTTTAGAGAGTGGATATTGAATAACTTGCAATCCATTTAAATTCTGTCTATTCAAAATAAATAAAAATTTCATTTTTAACTAATGTATAACGTGAGCTATAAAATTGCTAGATCATACGTTTGAGATTTTGATCATTCAAAATCTCTTTGAAAAATGTCTTTCAACTATTTAAAACTAAAAAATACTTAAGAATTAATAACAATCTTACGAAAATGCTTCATCACAGTTTTCTGTTAAAGATATTCCTAATGGTAATACCACAATATACAAATAGACTTGACAACTTGAACTCTATGCAGATTGGAGAAAATATGCACAAATTGTCATATGTTTCTAGCTGGTAAATATGATTCCTGGTAGTAAATTATTATTAGCATGTTATTGATATAACTGATAACTACCTTTAATCCTCATTTCTTTATTTAAAATTTCCTCAGCTATTAACTCTTCTCACCTCCATTTCCACGAATGCCAAATCTTTCTGAAATTCACAGTGACAGGTGATGTTTTCAAATGTTGTCTAACTATCGTTCATTACTCTGCAAATAGGGATACACTTGTGTATTTATTTCCGAACTTTTAAAAGTAAATATATATATGCATTAGTAGTATTTGCACAATCGCTTTATTAACTAACAGACAGAAAGGAGTGAAAATTGTGCACGTGATGCTCGATTAATTATGAAATAAAAAATATACTAAAAGTTTCTCAAGGTACGTTTTTGTTGAATTAAATGCATGAAACTACGTTATGTTCTTCAAACTGTCACTAGAATTTATGAAAGGAGAAATTATGGCTTTGGTTTATGAAGACGCACGAGCTCAGATTACGTATCCAAGCAAGATTAATCGGTCTCAAACGGTAAGGAGTATTCTTGGTAACACAATTATGTATTGGATAATGCATTCATCGCTTAACAACGCATTATCCTATACATAATCGTGTTATCAATAAAAATCCTTACTGTTTGAGACTCCTCCGTATGCATTGCGTAAGGGCAACGTTGCGGTACGAAACATTAGATCTTGTTTCAAATCCGAGATGGAGACTAGCACTTGACATAAACAATTATCAAATGTAAAATAAGATTAAGTTGCTTTCAGGGAATTCTGTATATCTGCGATTTCCTAACTGAAATTATTCATGAAGTATTTTTCATCTGTTAGGTTTTAGTGTCAACAGCGGAATTGTATGGATGGAGCAGAAACGATTTGCCCTGCATATCATGAGAGATCTAGGATTTGGTAAAACGCGGATGGAAGTCCACATAAAGGTAAATGATATTCATTCTCTTAAACCAATAAATTTCTGCAAATAATCACCATTCATACAAGAACAAAAGACACAAAACTTTGCCTCACGAACTTCGTTAGAACTCAATATTCCATTGAAGCAGCTTCAAAGAAATATTGTTCAAAATAGGGACTTGTTAATTAAAGCAAGAAAGTAACGGCTAACTTATCTAAATGATACGTGTATTACGATGAATCCAAATATTTTCAGAGTTCTGATGGTTTGTTGAGAACAGGCCGAGTTTAAGGTGTCCAAATTCTGAAACAAGCAGTGTATCAGCTTTCTGCGTGCAGGATTTGTATAAGTCTTATTACTTCACTGATTATTATTGTATTCTGCAAGACACACTGAAATTAAAAAGTATTAAAAGAAAAATGCAGAAAAAGATGCAATGCAAAATCATTATTAAAAACACAAATTTATATTTATTTTACTCTAGTTTACTGTGCCTTTCCACAAATTTATTGGCAATAGATAAAGGACATCTATCATTTTGTCATCGTACACGTCAAATAAATGAGACAGGCTTTACAATATATAAAATCAGTTGTTCTTCTGATGTTCAGTTACGTTGGAAGTTACTTGCCTGTTTCAAAAACAAGGCAGAATTTAGTAAACCAAGTATCTATTATTTTGCCATATATTTTGTACTTTTGACCTGTTTTTAAAATTAACCTTAATGAGACCGTGAGACATCATTGCGAGTCTTTTATTTTTATTTCCATAAATATCTCGTACAAATCTTATGCAACATTTTCCCGTAGATTTTAATAAAATTAAACTGAGAATCTCAGTAAAATGTAGAAATATCAAGATAATTCAAGGAAATTTTTACTTACGTCAACAGCACTCCAACGACTACCATTGTGTAAACCGATGGGTGAAATATATCTGAAACTAATTCAGGAAATACCTCAATTATAATTTTTATAAAACAACTTTTTATTACCTCTTAGTCTACTCTAAAGACAAGTCACTCTCCTATGCCAGATTTAAAATTCGAATAATTTGTGAATTTTAATAATGTTTCAAATGAAAAATTCTGAATGAAATTTTTTTAAAGTAATTCAGCTTTAATGAACAAGAAATGAAATTTGCCAGATCCTATCTCTAAAGGAAAAGCTATCACCCTCCTATCAGCAAGATCAGTAAATCAAATGTATAGGAATCAGTAAATCAAATGTATAGGAATCAGTAAATCAAATGTATAGGAATCAGTAAATCAAATGTATAGGAATCAGTAAATCAAATGTATAGGAATCAGTAAATCAAATGTATAGGAATCAGTAAATCAAATGTATAGGAATAAAATAGACGACTGCGTTACTTTCGGTACTAGAATTTTGTTTTTGTGTATTCAAAGAGACAAGTAGTTCGTATGAGAAATTCCATAGAAAGTTAACCTGCAAGAAAAATGAAGGCTAGTCAGCTCTTTTTAGAAAACCTTTAAAAAATCTGTCTTTTTCCTTAGACATATAGCTGTAATGAGCTCAGCCATGTTTTGATAAGTCATCCAATTCAGTCCAATTTTAAAACTAACAGCTACGATTTTCACAGGATTAAAAACATTTTTATAACAATGATCCATTTTGATCACGGACAAAGATAAGCACGATTTATATTGTCTTGGAAACTTGGTATGTGCAAGTTGTTTAAATAATTATTTTATTTTTAAGATAAGTAAAGCAGATAGTAATGGTCTTTATCGTTTCTCACTTTCTTGACTCTAAAAAACATGAAAAATTTGCAAGATAAACAAAAATGTTTTATATATATTTTTACGGTATATAAAAAGATGTATTTGTGGATTGAAAGTAATCTTTATGTGTCAGAATGGTAGACGTAATTCACTACTTTACGACTATCTTGGTAATAAAAGGGGGTGCGGATTTATTGCACTAGTGGTTTTGGAAACAGTTTATTATAGGTTAGAACTAGCCGTCATATAAAAGCAAGAGCAATATTCTTTCAGTTTTTTCCTTAAGGAAGCAATATAACACTAAATTATGTTCACAATAGAAAAAACTTCTCTATGACGTACTTTCATAGCCATATATGTTATTATCGCGAGATAAAATAGTCTATTGATCAGTTGTCAATAAATGTCTCGATACGCCTAAAATATTTGTTTACAATGGCAATAATTAGTCTAAACTTTCACAATATATTTTGATTCCAATTTAATTTGCATTGCAGAAGAAACAGTTTTATTGTCTTAGATTCCCATAAGAATGTAAGTTTTAAATTACTAATGCCTTTGATGGTGGCTGTCGACGGTTTTCTTGCGACAGCTCCTAACAACCCCCCCCCATCTCTTTAGGATTTACGACTTTGCATTGCTACGTGATTAAGAGTCATCTAGTGTAGCGCCCACCAGCAGCCGAGCGGTAAAGTCGTTGAACACTGGTAGTTCGGTCCGAGGTTCGAATTCCGCGAACGGGGCTGCAGGGTTTGTCGTGTTTTCCCCATGTGTGTGTATAGCCAGTTTTCCTTAGAAAGTTTTCCATGAAGAGCCCTTAGAAAGTCCTCCATGAAGGCATCCCTCCTCTTAGGCAGATAGCCCTCGAGGCTTTGCCATAATCACACACACACACACGTCTAGTGTAGCTCACTCCGCCTAGAAGTTTGTTCGTCTAATTTTGAATCACCTTGTAGATAGGTAAAATAAACAGAATGTTCTCATAACTTCTAGAAATTCACCTTCCTTTTTTTGATATAATTATATGCATAACATTATACACTGGAAATATCCTCTTGCTCTGATTGCATATGGGCAATATTTTTTTCTGGCATCTCATCTCGATTAGAGAGTTTTAACACAGATTATCAAACAAGTTTATGTTCCTCTATGTATGAAATCAATTAGTATAACGGTTTGTAGAGTCATTAAGATTTCTTTTAAGCTGGAGGAGTGAAAAATGAGAAACGCCCTCGCCAGGATTCGATCGTAGACCTCTTGAATACACGCCGAGTGTGCTGCCGTTACACCACGAAGGCATGCAGAAGGCGGCGAAAAATACCTTTTATACTTCCTCTTTTAAAGGGCGACTGTATATTAGAGGACCGAATCGCCAAATCCTGGTGGTGAAGAATCCACCACCTTTTAGTTCGGGTGGCAGTGTAAAAGCATTACGGTATTTTATTTCTGGAGAGGTGAAAAATGAGAAATGCTCTCGCTGGGATTCGAATTTGGACTTCTCGAATACATGCCGAGTGTACTACCGTTACATCGCGAAGGCATCCAGAAGGAGGGAGAAAACATTTTGTGGGTTATTTTGACAGAAATATGTCTATAATAAAAGAATATTTTAACACAAAATTATGAACATATCCCAGTATAAACATTCCTTGAATTTTATAAGTAGCTGTAATATGATTTCCTTTCACCACTTTGCTCTGAATGATCACTTAAGTCTTCCATCGCAGATGCAATATGTGTTTCCAACGAAGCTACCTTTAATGTTGAAAGCTTACTAAAAATGTGAAATTTAGTTGTAAAACATATAAAACTTTAGCATAAAACTAAATTATTCAGATAAGTTCAGACAGTAAAGCAGTGATCATTTAAAATAACCGTCATCGTTTCAAGGAAGTAATCTCCATATCCTCCCTCGTCTTATCGGCACCATTATAGCTGGAAAAGCGATAAAGAAAAACTAAAAATTTAGGAAGTTCTTTTGATAACAAAATGACAGCTAATGCTCCACGGTAATCTGCATAGATTAGCTTACAGCGTTAAAGGATTATTTTAAAATGAGAAGAAAACTTTGCTATGCATGCTATTTTATCTTAGTATCAGGCTCGGAGTGATGTTTCTCTTAATTTGGGGTTTTAGGGACATACACATGACTCAGCTATTTCTTTAAAGAATAGTTATGTACGTAATTATGTTTTAACGAGAAAAAGAAACAGTATTGTACTTTAACATATGCATTCTTTGACGTGCGTTATATGTGAGAGAATCGCTAACTGAAGTGGCGGATAGTGGAGATTTACATTAGCAACAGTCAACTTGAATAACTTGTGTTCGAATCCCACATAAAGTATGATCGTTACTATGCAGAGTTAGAAGCCCTTAAACCCAGTCGACTGAATACGACAGCTAATTAATTGGACAAATATATAACAATTGTTTTAGGAATGCTTTCGAGAAGCTGAAGAAAGAGAAGAAAAAATTATCGGATTTTTATCATCTGAAATTTGTTCTATCAAGATTGGGATGGGGTTGAGAATAATCACACTGTTCCGCTGATGTACAGCATCAATCAAATACGCTTTTTATTGTGACTATTGATTGCTAAAGCCCATTTTAAGAACTCGTGATAAACAGCGAGGACAACAGATGCTCGAATTATGACTTAACAAAGAAATTATGATAACAGATTTTGGAAAATTTTTATATAGTTCTATTTATCGTTATTTAAGAGTAGATAATCAATGCCTTTTAAATAGTCTTTTTTCATGTCTGCAATATTTTAGGACTAGCAAAGAAAATTTATTGTCTGTTGTTTTTGCCATGCATTACTTTTCATTGTAAGTTTCTTGCTTTTACCTCAGTACATGCTTTTCTTACAAAAAAAAAAAAAAAAAAAAAAAAAAAAAAAAAAACCTGAAATGTTTCAGATTTTAAATTACGTCCAAAGGGCGTTTTTTAACATTTTGTGTGTTGTTACCTTTCTTTATTAAATATCATGTTCCTCGCACTTAAACCATAAGATCCAGTGCAACAGCAATATCGCAAAATAATTTTTAAAACGAGCATATCTTTAGAATTTCCGATACAGAGACTCACGCGCTGGAGATAAAAATGTTTTCCTGCACAACGTTGCCATTGCTCGCTTTGAAATCCTTGAGTTTGTTAATCAAAAATTCGTCAAAGTTTTAAAAAATAGGAAATCGATATATAAAACAAATTTCAAATTTCAAATTTGGTCTTCCACATGCTCATATTCGTTGGAGGATTACGTTATTCAAAATTCG